AAATACGTCTCGCTTCCTTCTTCAGTATTTTGTTTATGTGTTTGAAAAACTATAAAGAACTAAAATTCATAAAATGTATTTTCGTTTTTAACTCTTTTATGTTTGTTATTTCAATTCAAAGTTGGTGTTAGTCGTTTCGACTAACAAGCACGCAGACAGGGTCAAAAGAGCGAAGCACTTCCAGGGCTAACTATATTTGTCTCAGCACATGGTTTCTTCATAGTTACATGATTTGGTTACACAGGCCTACAAAATTTGAAAAATGTTCAGACCCTGGGACTAGCGTATACTGTTCTAAAGGTTTTTGGTGCGCAGACTCTGAATTTGATCAGATTTTTCCATTTGCTCAGGTTTTTGAGATAATCGAGTCTAAAGGTGCGAAAAACACGATTTTTTGCTATAGTGTAGTCTCATCATGAGTAATTCGTTTTTGTAGAAAATTTAATAACTCATTTGAATGTTAAGTTTCTCCCCTTGACAATACTTTTTCATTCAACTAAACATCTTTTTTAAGCCTGAGGTATTGTGGTTCGAAGTTTACGAGTTTTGCGATATTTCATCTCTGTACATAAATCCTTGAAAGGTGGAATTTCAAAAAAAAAAAAAACAGATTTGTAGTATACTTTTAGGCTTCTATATTTATATTATGAATGCTTGTATTTGAGCTTAAAAGTTAAACTGCATATGCTAATATGTTCAAACTAAAATAAAATAAATCAAGAAAATAAACATGCAATAAAATAAAAAAAATATATAATATAATAATAATATAAAGACAAAGTAAAATCACATTAAATAAATTAAAATTAAATAGAATAATATTTTGAATTTTTTTAATAGTTTGAGTTGTAGCTATTCTGAGCTTAGGGGTTTAAGAATTTTATTTTAGTTAGTTTAATTTTATTTCATTTAATTTTTAAGTCAATTTAATTTGATTTAGTTTCATTTAATTATTTATTTTTTTTTATTTTATATAAGTGAATTTTATTTCATTATTATATTTCCTTTATTTTGAAAATAGTAAGAAATCGTGTTTTTCGCAACTTTGGACCGGATTATCTCAAAAACCTTTGGAAAAGTATAAGCTGATCCCAGGGTCTGAAAAATGTCGGCCCGATGAGCTAGAGACTTGAAACTTTAAACTTAGCTCAGAACCCGATGACAATGCAATGTGAAGAAGAAGAAATTATGTAATCTGCTAGGTGGCGCGGGTGTCGAGATATTTGAAAAAAAAACCTATTTATCGACCGATGTGGTATATATTTGGAATGTATATTACCTACAAGAAAATAAATAACAACACAAAGTTGCCGATAGGTGGCGCAGGAGTCGACAAAATTTGTAAAGTCCGATTTGTTTCATCTTCAGAACGTGTATTAGCTAAATGGAAAGAAATAACTTCACAAAAAATTTAGCCGTTAGGTGGTGCTGGATCGTTTTTTTTACTAACTACTAATAAAAGCTTGTCTTTAAACATTTTTTTTTTTGTTTAATTACTTGTTTAATAAAATACTCAAAAATCGCTTCATTGTGAGGAGATAACTTGTTTGAAGCTCATTGAAATATGGATTTAAATAGTAAATTGTAGAGCATAATCAATTTTTAACTTGCGTTAAAAATGCTTCTGGGCCAAATCATAATTTTTATAATAGTAATCCATGTTATTTACGCAAAAATGCAATAAAAACAGATTCGAGGAAAAATGGAGTTAACTACTTTTGCAAATAATCAGATCAAGGTCAATACTAGCTTGAATCATTTACTTTATATCTTAAATTAAAATGGTCTGGTATTATATTCCCTTCCTCCATTTCCAGCTGCGAGTGTGTAAATTTCACTACACATTAGGAGGAAAAAATACAACATTTCTGCTACGATTTTCAGTTTATTTAAATGGAATTGCGTTCTTACAAGTATTAGGTAAAAACTCGTTTTTTTTTCTAAATATTAAAAAATTGCAAATGCATAAATTCGTAAATAATGCTGGCAATTAATTACGCTACATTTTTATCGCTACATGTCTTCTGATAAATATGAAGATTCTTGTGTTAACGAAACAAAAAAAAATAAAAAATAATAATGTTTTGTTTACAGCTAATGGAGAATTTTTTTAAATTTTTATTTTCTCTGAGTTTTTGCAACTAATTTTTGCATTAGATTTTGTTCATCTGGGTGAATGTTTGTTTATTGCACATTTCTGACACATTCCTAACTGACAGTGTTATTGTGCAAATAATAATGTACACCGATGCATACATAAAAATGGATATACGTACATAAATACGTTAGGATGATTTACAATGGATGGCAAAAAAAAAATGAAATAATCGATTAATTAATCATATAATTAATCACAAGCCAAAAAAAATTGATTGCAATTATTGAGAAATAATCGATTAATCGAATTTTTAAAGGCACTATTTTACAGTGAGTATTCACAAAAACACTTCCATACAAAATTTCTATTTCTGTTGTTAATTAGCCTTAAATAAAATAAGGCAAGTATTTTGAGCGACATAATTACACGGTGTTACAAAATAAAAAAAATAAAAAATGCGCGAACTTTTTAAGTGACTTGGTACAGGCCGTAGAGCTAGCCGATTAATTCACGAAATGTTTTCAAAATTTTTCTAACAAATTCTCAAATTCTCTACTTATTCTTAAAAAACATTTTCGCATTACTTCCGGCATTAAAGAATTTTTATTTTAATTTAAAATTTTTATATGGCTTTAGAAAGAATATTTCGATGGTTGAGTGGAAGATCGACCTATCTCGGCAGCCAGTTCGAAAACGCTCTATCTCAAAAAACTTTTCAAGGACGCCCTACTTCAGAATTTAATTGAAAAACACCTCATCTCAAAATTCGGTTCAAAAACGCCCTATCTCACTTCAAAATGTATTGAAAATATGCTGATATAGGGCGTTTTTGAATCGACAGTTGAGATAGGGCGTTTTTGAAACGAGTTCTGAAATAGGGCGTTCTTGAAAAGTTTTTTGAGATAGAGCGTTTTCGAACTGGCTGCCGAGATAGGTCGATCTTCCACTCAGCCATCGATTTGTACTATTTAAAGAAATAATAAAATTTGTCAGCTCATTGTAACATTTTTGAAAAAAAATCTGAAATTTAGACCAATTTTTATTATTTTCTTTCACTTCTACCCCATTTATTGCCAAAATATTTAATTCCGAAGAAAACAAGGTACAACTCAATAAAATCAATAAAAAAAGTTATGAAGTTATGCCATCTTATATAGAGACAAATCCAATTTTTTCCATACGAATTATTGAAACCTCAAAGTGCATCCTATTCAACTGATTCAAATTTTCAGTGAAAGTATATGGAAGAAATTTTTAGAAAATTCATATATTCCAAAATTTTCTATTGATTTTCATAGATGATACCTAGTTCTACTCGGAATTAAACGTTTCTTTTTAAGGTAATGACTAAAAGGTACTATTTTTAACCGATTTAAAAAAAATGGAAGTTCGTCGGAATTTCTTTTTATTCGTTATTTTTATGTATGTTACTGCATAACTTTGGACCACGTTAACCGATTTCGATAATTAAAAAAATTAAAATAACTTGATCTGTTGCAAGTGGCTCTTAAGAGGAAGATATATTTTTTTTTGATGTTGCGTGAGGCAGTCTAATGTGCATACTTGTAGAATGCAAGAAAAAAATTACATAATATAATTTGTTCGTCGTCATTGTAAATTCTTGTTTGGCTCTTTACTTTAGCCTAAATTGTTCACACTTTACTATGGCGGCTAATCAAAATGAATAAAATACGAGTTTAAAAATTAGCAAAAAAAAAAATTAAATTGATTCTCGTATGAAAAACAAGCGAAGCGAATCCATATCCATTCCCGCCACGCTGCTCATTTTTAAACCGCATTTTCATTTACACGCATTTATTTTTTGTGTGAATATTTTCTTGCATTATGTTTTTAATTTTTATTTTAATTTTTTATTATGTGTAACTAAAATGTGCGAAATGGAAAATCTCACTTTGTAAAATTTGTCTGAATTTTTCTTGGCAACCACAATATATTTAATTTTTTAATAAACAATTTTTTCCGTTTCAAAAATTTTTGAATTTCTGGTTTACACTTGATTTGTTTAAATTTCTTTTCTAAAAAAAAAATTGATTCTGCACGCGCATTTTTACACGTTTTACACGCTCGCGCAACATTTTGGTTTCAAAGTCAATTTGAATTTCGCACAATTTTCATGCAGCGCTAAAATTGTGAAGTTAAGAAAACAATTTTTTACAATTTACTCATACTTATTTACATACATACATATGTATGTACATATTTATGTTTTAATAAATCTCTTCGATAGCGCTTAAATGCAAAGAATTTTTAAGATTTGCGTAGCGCTTGCGTTGCCACAAAAAAAAACATATTTTCTTGTCGTCATTTTTTTTCGGCAAAACAAAGCAATGAATCAAATTTTTTAAACAGTAAATACTGAAAATTTGGAATTTTGCGTTTTTTTTTTTATACATGGATACATAAATACGACATCTGTATATTTTAAGGTCCGTTGAACATGATGTGAGAGCAACCATGAACCAATTATGTCTAAAAGTAAAAGAAGTATATATCGGTTTTTGTGTGTACATATTTTAAATTCGAAAATGTCTTGCATAATAAACGCTTTGAAAAATGTTGACTTTGCTTTCTAGAATTAACGATAGAAGAATAAGTTTGGTATCGCGTTTTATATTCGGGAATATCACTGAACCCACAGCAGTCCGATATTTCTAGCTGTTTTATCA